AGAGAGAGAGAGAATGAAAAGGATAAAACGGCAATTGGGGGCGGTATGTAGTAACAAGGAGCAATGAATAGCAACACCCTTTAACTAATCACATTACAATCGAACCCAAACGGAACTCAAGAACAAATCATTAGAAACCATCCTTATCGCACTAAAGCTAGCAACAACCTTCCTTTAACAAAAATCAAGTGTCTGCTTCAAACCAATCTGCACAAGCTAACTTAGACACAAATGTACAGGAGAAAAAAGACCCCCAAAAAAAGAAAAGAAAAAAAAAAAAAGAAAGATGATCATCCAAACAGCTCTTTTATGAAATCCCTTTTATGGCTTCGATTGAGTATTGTATTTACATGAGATGCAAAAGTTAAACCACCACTGGTGTTCATAAGAACTCCAGATGATGTAAGTACTTGAAGTACCAGTCGATATCCAGTTCAACCTGAAGGCATTGTTTCACAAGAACAGCTACTTTTTTATTATCCCAAGCTACAAAATCCTGAAGGCTGACACACCATCACCTTACGCATCCACGGTTTAATTACCTGCTTTAGGAAATGGAAATAGAATTAAGTCCAAGAAAATAAGAACTACAATTTTGATTTCAATTGAAGGAGAATTAATATTCGAAAAATATATAAATGAGTTTCTTTTTTCTTTTCTTTTAACTCAGACCTCAAAGCAAGAAAACAATGAGAAACTTTACCTGCAGTTACCACTTCCCACGTCCCATGCTGTGTTTGAGGGGCCACAATGGGTCACGAAAGACTTTACATGTAGTTTTATGGATTTGTAAAAAACTAGCGACCCTTTCTATACATAACATCAGGAAGAGCTTGTGGACGATGCTTAGCTCTCATGATGGTTTCATCACTGTGCTTAATCAACTCAGAAAGTCTCCAAGGCTTTTGCCACTTCCATTTGAACTGTAATAGCCACTGATGATGACTCCTTTTCCATCTCCATAGTTTCCCGCCATGCCCAGCTACCGTTAATTTCTTCATCGACAGCTGCCCAATGGGTACCATCTGTATTTGCCACAATAATCACACTTTAAGAAAAGAAGGATTAAAAAAAGAAAAAGAAAAAAAAATTAGTACTAAATCTGCCCTTTGTATGTTGCAACTCTTAATAAGTTTAACTATATTTTTACAGTTGCAACCTCTGATGTACATTGTACAAATTACTCCCTTAACAGTAGAACAAAATGTGAGGTCAATTTGTAGTTACTTACGGTTTGTTTGTAAACTCTTCTATGATGTTATTAGCACAAAATATATAAGACGCAATCAATCCTCAGTTGTACATTCTGTAACTAAGAAATCAGCTTTGTTTTTGTTCCTTTTTATCATTTTATCTTTGACAATAACCTAAAGCTTCAAGGGTAGATCTTGTAATCGTCCTAAAACAGAGGAGCAACTGGCGAGGGAAAACACGATAAATGTAAGAAGTAAGAAAGTCAACCTTTCGCGTTTGATCCATGAATGCAGCCGAATCTCTCACAGACACATTGGCAATTCCTGCCGTATATTTAAGTTGTTTCTGTGCTGGAACCGGAATTGGAGACAAAGGATCGCTTGTGTCATCGGCATTGTGCTTGTGAGGGTTGACCTGGACCAGTAAAATTATTTGCGACATAAGCACGGAATATATAGGAGAAGTGTCAGTGGAAAGAATCTTATTACCCATAGATGTAAAAAGGAAAAAATGAAAAAGGTAATCTTACAGGAGGTGGTGTTGCTGGTGCAATAGGAGGAGCAGCTTTATCTCTATATTTTAGTTCCTTTTCTGCTTCTTTTCGCCTGAGTTCACTTTGACGCAATAAGCCAACAACTTCCTTCATCTGTTCTTTCATTTCCTTGATTTCCATTTCTTTTTCCCACAATTCGCACCTGTTGATGGTGTGGAAATTTTAGTTTATCTATATCTATACTACCTTAAAGTCATTTCTTGAAAAATTTGAAATGCTCATATTACCATCTAGAGATTTACTTTTAAGGACATAAATGTAATATTATAACTTCATTACTATCTTATCAAACCACATGTAAATAAAATCTAAAATGTCACTACTACCCTCAAAAGTGTTGTATTATGTTATGTCTTATTCTAAATACATTTACTGCTTATAATATAAACAATTTAAATTATTTTAAATAACAATTTATATTTTAATTAGAATAATTGAAATATAAAAAAAACGCATGAGTTAATATAACGTTTCAAATAAAACGTTTTAAATCATCAATGTGATGACATAGTACTCAATTAATAATATCAATGTATTTTATAATTAATAATATTTTTATAATATTAATCTATTAAAAAAAAAATGTTTGGTTTCCAAATTTTTAAATGAATGTATTGGCGCAACTACATAACTAAGATTTGCATGTATAAATATTAAAAATTCTTGTAATGCAAAGTCAATAAAAAAGCATATACAAATATTAAAAATTCTTGTAATGAAAAGTCAATAAAAAGAATTAAAAAAAAAAATTAATCCATTGATATGACCTTTTATTGAAACCAAACATTTATCTATTTAACTTTTTTAACTGTCATAATGTATGAATTTTTTTTATTCTTATTGTATTATTTTACAATTAATATTTTATTCAATTAACTTATGGTTCTCATTGTTTTTTGTTATTTACAAAATATTTGTATGCTATTTTTAATTAATTTTTAAATATTAATGTATTAAAATGTTTGTATGTTATTTTTTTAATTAATTTTTCTTAATATTAATGTATTAAAATAATTATTGATAATATTACAACTTCATTACTATCTTATCCAACCACATGTAAATTAAATCTAAAATGTCACTACTACCCTTAAAACTCAAAAGTGTTATATTATGTTACTTCCATAAAGTTATATTATGTCTTATTCTAAATACATTTACTGCTTATAATATAAACAATTAAAATTGTTTCAAATAACAATTTAACTTTTAATTAAAATAATTGAATTTTATTATGTTGAATAACTATTTTTGATTCAATCATCTTTAAACATATGCATATTCACTAAATTGTTCCTCTTTAATTTTTTTAGTACTATAACAAAAAATATCTATAGTAAAATATGATATATGGAAATTAGAGATGATACTTTCATTGGTTCATATGTTTAATTGACATGCATATGATTAATAATTGTTGAATCAAAAATAATTCTTCAACATACAATATGTAAAATTTATGTCGAAAAGAGTTACTCGTTAAGTGTAAAATATATAATTTTAATAGAAATGTTTTGTTAAATTACTCACTAAAACAACAAGCATAATATAATTTAAGTTTACAAGTTAATGGTATCTATAGTATAAATGTTCTTTCTTTATGATAATATGTGTTGCATAAATTAATATATCGCATCGTTTAATTTATTTGTAATATAAATAAAAATAGAGTAATTATAAATATAAAATAACCAAAACTTTATTTTAAATCTTGAATTTTAAAATACGTGTAATTATTAAAAAATAATCACAAATAATATCAATTAAATTAAAATAAATAGAACATTTACTATAAATTTGTTGCCATTATCCAATCTTATTTATAAAATCATTCATAAATTAAATATTGCAAATCACTTCTCAAAAGTAGGAAAAATAAACAAATATATAATATTGACTATAAAATAATAAGATAAAAGTAAAATATAAAAGAATCATTATTTTATATTCATTGTGATATGATTTAAGTTTACAATGGTATGTATAGTATAAATGTTTTTTTTTTTTTATGATAATATGTGTTTTATAAATTAATCTTGAATAAAAATATAGTCGTTATAAAAATAAAATAAAATAACTCGATTTTAAATCTTACATTTCAAAATACGTGTACCTATTGAAAATGGTTACAATTAAAATCAATTAAACATAATTAAATAGTACATATATTTGAATTTGTTGTCATTAGTCAATCTTATTTAAAAAAACATTTATAAAGTAAATGTTCCAAATCATTTCTCAAATGTAGGGAAAATAAACTATATACTAATATTGACAAAGATAGAAAAATAATATTAAGATTAAAGTAAAACATGAAAGAATCATCAATTTATCTCTTATATAAAAAGGAACTATTTTTTTTTTTTTTTTTTACAATTAGGTTAGTCTTAAAAATTCGCGAAGGAAAATGATAATGCATGTGTGGCAATGTTAGATGATTCAACAATAGTTTATGTTGGACATTATATATAGATGGGTGTGCTTTCAATCAACCAATGGTGAACAATATATAGATAGATTGGTAGGATGTTATTGTTTCTAATCATTTTCATGTAAATTTCTTTTTTTTTTCTTTTTTTTTTTAAATAATTATGACTTTAATGACAATTTTCAAATACTTATTTATCTTTTATGTCATTATATCCAAAGAGAAAATATATATTTAAGTATTATAAAATATTATACTTGCAAATAGTGTAGAACGAAACATTCAAACATAGTTGGTTAGCTTCTAATCAACACTAAAAAAATGATGATCACAAATGATAGTTATATCAAATATGAGTTATTTTTCAAAGAGTATCACACAAAAAGAAGGCATTAAAAAACCATATTATAAGACAATAATAACGATCATTATTTTAAGCATAATGAGTATATCATTAAATAACAAAATAAAAAACAACATAGATTATTTTAACATTTAAAATTTTACAAAAAAAAAAAAAACATTATTAATATTATTTT